TTATTCGGTCGGTTAGTAATTCAGTCCGTAAGATCATTCATCAGTCTTGGGTACCAAGTCCGTCAGGTAGATCAACTGTTATGCTGATGATTAGCCAGCCAGTCAGTCAACTTGTTATATAGCCACCATCCATTATCAATCAGCCAAAAGACGGTACGTGTATCAGTGCTATTTGCAACCGGTTAAGTTAACTCTTCTCAAATCTCTATAAATGTTTTTATTTTAGATTCTTCAATGGATAAGCGTTACAAGGTAAGCCAGAAGGGACCTCACGATCCCTTTTCCTTGACCATCACGAGCTTGAGCAAAGCTGACCTTGGAGTTTATTACTGCTGTCTGCCATCGGGCTGCTCTAAGAACATTAACGAGGAGCAGTGTCAAAGCTTTGACATCGATAAAAAAAGTAAGTATTCTTAGTGACATCAAGGTTTGGGCTAGTGCATAGGTACATTTTGAAGAAAAATGTCTAAAACACCTTCGAGGTACACAATTTTCTTGCAAAACAATCGTTATTATTGCCTAGAGAAGATTTTCGTATCCGTGGAAGAGAGTCGCAGGAGGAGTTTTAAAATGCTCTCATGAAGAGAACTCAGGAAACATATCGTCTCGTTGCCTCGAATCCAGCTTGAGACGGTGAGCATCTTTGTGGCTTTTGTAATTGAACCAATTGTGCTTAAAAAAAGAAACTGGATGTTAGGCTGCTTCACGAATATGTTTGTTCAGTAGGTAAAGAATCGGTCTGCTAATAGCTTTCAACTACAATCCTTACTTTCCTGTCTGCTCGAGGCTTAACCCTTTAACTCCCATGAGTGACCAAGGCAGAATTCTCCTTACAATATCAATACAATATCAGCCAGATAAGTGATGTGAAAAAGTATCAATTTGGGGGTAATTAGTTGATCCAATACTAAATTCTCTGAACTAACACTATAAGAATTGTATAGTTGACAGTAAAGAGAATTACAAATTTGATCTGGGAGTTAAAGGGTTAACCAGAGCAGATCGCTGAAAGACCTCTCAAATATCATTAAATTACGCTTGTAAAAATTGTAACATAACTGAGAAATCCCTCAACCGTCATTGAATTTCATTTTATATATTTTAGCATTTTTCAATTTGATCCTTTTATTCCAAAGGTGAACCAACTGCTGGAACAATGTCTGTGGTTGCCCATAACGTGTTCCTCATCTTGAGTTTCTTTGTGGTGTCGCTTGTGAGTTTGTAGAGGACGGGGTAGCGTACCAAACAACTTGATCTTCTCTCTTGACTTCAGCTGATTTTCATATTAGGAGATGTTCACAGCTTCTGTACGCCACTGATTCACAATCATTCCTATACCGTCCTCTAAATTTTTCGGTTGCGTGAATTTGTAAAACTTCCCTAATGTTTTATTAGTCTTATTAGTCTGCTGGTTATGACTAGTTTTTCAAGTTTTTTTCTTCGGCTATTATAAACAAAATATTGGACCCAACTTTCAAACACTTCAAATGTAATCATCTTTTGCTTGTTTATTATTAGATATAAGGGGTAATTAAAATTGCAGACCCTAAAGTCGAGTGGCAGCCTTGCCAGTTAGTACATACCGCCCTGCGTTCACAGATTAACAAAAAGCTGTGAACAGAATCCAGTATCCAGTACAGTGAGATCAGAAAGTAAAATCTACAGTTATGTTAAGTAAAATATATTGTCTGCATCATTTCACTTATTTGAAGAATATTGGCCTCCCAAGTAAACAATTATTTATCCAATGGATGTCGTTACACAAAATTCACCGTATTACTTGTTACGAACAAGAGTTTGGTGAAATTGTATAAGCTCAAAAGTGTAGAAATAATAAACTTTAGAATATTGCTCAACAGTTAACGTATTATTTGTTCCGTAGAAGTATTCGCTAAGATTTTACGGGCTCAAAGTTGTCGTTGTTACTGGCTCACACTTTTCTCTATTTTCAGTTGCGTGTGCTCACTGAAAAAAATTTGACAAAAGGTGATCAAGGTCGGATGCAGTTAGGCTTTTAACTCTTTGGCTTACAATTTCATTTGCATCTATGCAGTTAGTGAACAAGAGTTTTCATATCATTAACCATCTTCTTTCTTGTGTTTAAGCCTTTCTCTTTGTTGATGAAATCGTAAATAGCCTCCTGCCTTTCGCCATTGCTTGTTTCAGAGGTTTCCAGATCATAATAAAATTTGTTGGTTGAATGATCTTATTCTTTTTCGGTGTTTATCATTGTAATCAGTCGTTTGATGACTTGTTTACAAGTTTCTTTACAAAGAATGAGAATATTTACGGGTTTCCTTACTGCAGTTTTAGTTGCAAGTTTTGCATTTGCTGGTTTTCAAAATGAAAATACACGGTTTATGACCGTTTTCGTGGAAACGGCCCGACTGGCAAAATCCCGACCGATTAAGAACCAATAGGAGCGCTCGCATTCAACTCAGGAATGCGCATTGTTATATACCTAGACTTTCACTCAAGAAAACAAGCATTGTATTTGGTTAGTTCTTGATCACGTGCCCCTGATCAAATTCAAATGTATCCCGACAGGGATACAATTGCGTAGTTGATGCCCGCGCGTCGAATACAACAGTATGTTTGTTTGTTTTTGCCATTTAATGTATGGTCCCTCGGGAAACTAATAAGTTTTGTTTTCCCTCAAGTCCTGATGTTTCCCTCGACTTTATCTCGAGAAACATCAGGACTCTCGAGAAAACAAAACTAACTGTTTCCCTCGGGAACATACATTAGTGTTTGATATTCAACGTGTTATTTGTTCCGAACAAGTATTAGTGAAATTCTACCAAATCAAAGTTGAAGAAATAGATTCTTGAAGACTGAAAACTCTGAGTAGTTTAGTTTCTAAACTACTAGAGAAATTCTAGAGAATTTCATCGGGTGGTTATCTTCTCGTTCAGGAGTAATAGCCTACAGGAGTAAACATGCAACATGTAACATGTATCACAAAAAATGTTTATCACAAAAAATGTTTAACAGGAGATTATGTTAACAAACGATGACCCCACTCAAATGGACTTATAAATAGCAAATGTTAAAGGAGTGGCTCAGTGTAATATGATTAGTCAGTATAAAAGAGCGCTGAGGTCAAAAGAAAAATGGAAAAATTACGTGGGCTAGGAATTACTGAAAAAAATAATTGTCGGAGACTACGAATAAACGAATGGCCCCAGACGTGCAGAATATGTCTGCCCTCCCTCACAATTTTATCCGGTCTTTCCCTCAAAGTGGTAAGCTCTTTTATACACTTGCATTCCCAAGATCTTAGCCGCTTACTTTTTCGAATTACTTTCTGTGTTGACTACAGATGGAAAGTCCCGTTCCTGCTCCTGCACTTTCGGTGCAGCACTCTCGTTCTCGGTTACCGCTTTCCCATTCCCCATTCTCCATTCCCTATTCCTGATTTTAGTTACCTTCAGATGAAAGTATTGTTCGCATGGCTCAGAATACTTTGCATTTCCAAGATAATAGTAAGGAAACTCCCCTTGAATAGCATACACGAATCTTTTGAAGAAGGAAGACTATTGCTTACGCTTTTTAGTTTAGCGGCCTAAGTAATTAAGGCGTGAATATGAAAGCGATCTTCGCAGCTATGAACGCTGCTTAAGCAGTAGTGAAAAGAAGGCCTTAAAAGAAAAAAAAACAAAAAAAAAAACAGGCCCGTACAGGCCTGAAGAGATTTCCGGTATTATTTCGCTGAGCGGTTGGAAAAATTGCTGAAATTCAATTCCTATAAACACATACCGATCATCGTCTCATAAATAATTCATGTCTGCCTCAAGGCTTAGTTGTGGGTGCATTAGGTCCGTCAGGGAAAGGAGGTCAATATGAAAGCTCTGAAAAACGTTTTTCATCAATTCTTCATTATATGTGCGGCAACACTGGCTCAAGGTAAGTAATTTATTGTCTTAATTCACTGTTTACAGAAATGGGAACCTCAAACCATCGAGTTTGGATTCGAATTCGACTCCGAGTTACATTTCGAGCTGGACTTCTAGTTATAACCCCTTCGTTGTATTCAAATATTATTCTAGTGTCCGTTTCTGTTTGGAGATTTTTTTTTAATCACCTTGAACGCGTGCTAACTAACGAGTTTGATGTCGACCTTTACAAAGTGAAAGTGAAGGTTTAGTTGTTTAAAACCTAGAAAGCTCTGTTGAAACAGGTTCGGGTCCCTTCCTGAGTGCGACAAAGCTGGCAGCAAGCCAGGTAACAAAATGTGATAGCATCGCTTTAATATCGGTGATATCACGCAGTCTAACTGACACAGCTTGGCACTTATTGTGTTAACAGTGAAATTGCACTTGAAACCCAAATAGTTTTGTCATATGCACTTCTCGAAAAAAATATTAAAGAAACAGTTTTTGCATCCTGTGTTTTCCGGCGAAAGATAACTTTTTGCCACTTCAAAAATGGCGAAGACCCAAATGCTATTCGTTTGCGCGTGCATGACCCAATCTAATTGCGTGACCTGTGCATTGAATTGCCTGGTTTAGTTTGTGCGTTTGCCTTAAGTGTAATCAGTACTACTAATATGATTATCACGATACACAGATTGGGAACTTAAATTACTCGAAATCATTATTAAATTTTAAAAGAAAACATCCAGACGAACTTACAAGCGGGAAACGAGTTTTCGATCAGAGCAGAAATAACATTCATTTCCATGATATTTATAATGTGCAAAAGTAATAAATGACTCAAGATTGACCTTCGCTCAAGGAACTCACGCGAGAGAACGTTTAAACGAGCAGATGCTCGTGTAAGAAAGCTCATTTTTCCCGACTTGCGCGCGTGAACTCCACGAAATTCTCGACAAGAGATCACAATAGAACCATTTTTCGCGCTTAAAGACAATTAGCTAGTTAAATGGATTTCTTGAAGTAGTTTTCAAATTAATATCCTTTCTCCCTGGATCAGATGCATTGTAAATCTTGCCTAAAGTAATCTTACTTAATTTTCGGAAGGCATTGCTTAAAAGTTTTTCAGATCTTTCATAAATCTTTCTTTATCGTTTATTTTGAAGAATCGTCTTTGTATTTTTTCATGTAGATCGTTTCACTTGGGTAGCATATTGCTGCTTTGGGAACTAAGGGTGAAAAGAAAGAAATATCCCTTGAATTGTTTCATACGTGAATCCTTTGAGGAAGGAGCTAGTTTGGTGGTTTAAATTCCAAGACAATTCATACACTGAAGTTTGTCGACACACTTGAATTTTAGGTTACCCCCCACCATCAGAGGCCGAAAAAAATCCATTTTTCTTTTATTTGACGTAACTGAATTTGAACTGACAATCTCCTACGAAAGTCTTGCCAAGAAACCAAAATAGAATTATTTTGCGCGCTCAAAGACAAGTTAGCTTAAATAGTGAGAAGTGCGAAGTGCAAGGATTTTAAAAGAGTCCTTCACATCCATTCTTCCTGACATCACAAACGAAGCCCGCAAATCTTGCATATACAGTTTCTTTCCTTCGTAGCTATCACCTAAATTTTTTCTCTGCTTCTTTTCCTCCTCAGCTAAGCTGAAAGTCGAGGTGACCCCACCAACCAGCTATGCGATGGAGTATTCCTCACTCCAAATAACTTGCAC